ATTTGAATGACCAAAGAACTGGAGATTTTGAAACAAGAAATTTAAAAGAACTAATTACTAAGCTTTCGTAGCTCGGTTTTTTGAGCACTGATGGCATTCATGGAAACCATGAAGTCTTTCTACCGTTCATAGTTAGGATATTATTAAGTGACCAACTGAAAAGGAATTTAGATTTAAATACGGAGATGTTTCGTCTTTATGTTAGAACAGGTTAAAAATATTAACCAACGTCAATTTTATATACGTTACAAAAGTTATTCATCATCCAAAACATCATCTGGAGAGTATAGGCGGCTCAAAGCCGACGCAGGCGTAGCATTGTTTTGTAAAGAGGTCTGGCAACCACGGCACACAACCATCAATCCAGTTTTCGTATCGATCCCGCATCGTCCTAACAGTGCTCCATTCACGAGAACATCGAAACCAGAGAAAGTTTCTAACATTCGTCGAACATAGCCTATTTTGAGTTAGAAAACGTTTCAAAATGATGATTTCCGATCAATAAAGATCCTTACTGGTAAATCGTGAAAAATTAATTTTCAAAACAGAATTCGATATCTCGTCGCTCTGAGGTCGAAGAAGATGCAGGTTCGGAAACGATCTGATAGTTAATTGTGACCAATTTTGAGTCAGGATTTTATAGCCGCATACAGCGCAGTTTCGGTCAGTTGCCATATTTGAATCATTTTTCGCACGTGTTTTCGCCCTATGAGTCGAAAAGAAAGGAATGTTTGGTAGAAAAAACAAAGAAACTATGAGTCTTACCGATGTTGATCACGATCACGTTCTAATCTAGTATTTCGCTCCGCATCAGTCTCGCGCGCTCGTAAGTTGTGTCGGCGGTTTATTTCTTTAGCACGTTTGGCTGTAAGACGTTCTTCTCTCTCCTTTGCGTTTTCTTTTGCACGTTTATCGGCTAGACGTTTCACTTCGTATTGGCTACGTGATATAAGATGCGTTTGCTTCTCTTCGACTGTTTTTTTGACACCAAAATCGATCAATCGCTGCTTTCTGTATTGTCTGTCAATAGCCAGGCGACTCTCTTTCTGTTCAGCAGTCTCAATGAGAGCACGACGGGCACGAAAAGCTCGCATTCGGTTGGTAGAAGTCGACAAGCGGATATCCATTTTCAAATAATCGTGAATGTTACTGGAAGAATTAAGATCGGTGGGCGACGAGTTGGCACCGTTATTTCGCCACAATATTGTATTCAAGTAAACATACTCAAAGAAAACTAAACTATTTATGATGAGATACTCGAAAGTGAAATTAAGAAAAAAGCGCGATAAAACACGAAAACTGAAATCAGATCAGGGAAGACTGATATTTAAAAGACAGAAAAAGCTTACGATATTTTGAAAATTAGCTAGAAAAAAATGGCAAACAATAGAATCGAGCATGTAGCTAGAAAATCCACCAAAAGGCCAAATTTACCTCGAAGACCAGATCAAAATGCACAAACAACCTCTGCGACCGATTCAAACAAAGATGTCACGGATCCAAACACAGACGTCACCGATGCAAACACAGATGTCACCGATCCAAACACAGACGTCACCGATACAAACACAGATGTCACCGATGCAAACATAGACGTCACCGATCCAAACACAGACGTCACCGATCCAAACGCAGACGTCACCGATCCAAACACAGATGTCACCGATCCAAACACAGACGTCACCGATCCAAACACAGATGTCACCGATCCAAACACAGGCGTCACCGATCCAAACACAGACGTCACCGATGCAAACACAGACGTCACCGATCCAAACACAGAAAATTTAGGTTTATAGACCCTAGCCTTTCAGTCTAGGGAATATATACAAAATCGACACACCACATAGAAATACCTATTAATAGACACTCAATAATATTCTAAGAACATAATTACCATTTGATTTTCTATTTTCAATCTTATGTAGTTTGCTTTTCTACTGTTGATGAATAAAACTATACACAATTGTGAATAATACAAATGTAATAGTAAACACTGTAAATATTCTTTATTATTGATGAGGATTAAATGCCTTGACATCTAAACTTCACTAAAGAGCATAGATTTGGAAACTTGAACGTAGGAATAGAAAAGTTTATATATTTGTGAAAAATGTGTGAATCTATCTCAAGATGAATATTCTATTTCACAAAATTGTTGCGTCTGATTCAATGAAGGATTTTTTGAAAATTGACATTGTGTGTGCGACAAACATTCATACGCGCAATAACATGCAGCGTTTATACAATCATCAATCGATTTATTTAAAGAATAATATGCCAAAAATCCTAAATAGAAATATATAACGAACAGAAAATAAATCGTTGTAAATCTACCTCCAACAAAAGCATCACCACATCCGATAGTATCGACGATTTTCGACGGACGTTTAATAGCAAATGTTTTCAAACCATGGTCTATACAATGGCCAATGTAGAAAATCGATTTTGTTATTTTGTTTATCCATCTTACTCGATGCTAAAATAATTGGATGAGAACTACGAGTTATTACCATGCATGTGTTGCCATTCTTTGTCAACAATTTTTGTAATTCTCTAGCGATGAATAATATATCATTATTCGTCTAAATTAGATATTTTTTTCTGTCGTTGAAAACAAACCGAGTAGATATTGCATACATACAGTGTTTTTCAGTTGATTTTGAGAAAAACATATTACTTCCTTAAAAAACAAAGAACAAATTCCATTGTTCACTCTACTGTATATCATTCCTCGTGTTACAAAAAAGTTTATTTGAATTTTCTCAATTCATTCTACCTTTTCATTTCCAAATAGGAAATCAACGAAAGGTAATAACTGCATAAGAAGATCACCAAATTTCTGACAAATATATTCAGCTGATAAATTGAGAGCAAATATTTTCTTTGTTGTAGTAGCATGTTCAGCTAATTTGAATACTGCTTCGGGACAAGTTCGAATAAAATATCCCTAGGAAAGAATTTCATTGATTTTTTTATTTAATATTCAAACGAATCTAACCGGTACGTAGAATATTTTTGCTTGCTCAACATACGACCAATTTTCTGATTTATTCAAATAATCGATTTCAAATTTATTTGCTGCACCAAGGTTTGTTATCATCGATCTAAGTCAAGAAAAGAATGTGAAGAATGTGATCAAATATTTGTATTATTTACCTCGCTTCTTCTGTTATTAAGATGAGACATGTTGCCGTAGGTGAATCAGAACTTTTCTGATATAAACAATTCACCATTTGTTTCTCCAATATTGTGCCGGATTCATCGTTTCCAATACAGCCCATGCAAACAGTGATATTGGCTCGCTCAAGTAACCACTAGATAAATGTAAAAACGTCCTTCGGTTTATCGAAAAATTATTCTTACATTGATCGTTTTTAATGTATTTTGTGTTGAACCACCAGCAGAATAATTCAAATGATAATTTCCATTAGTAAAAATTTCTTTTAACCTGTATGAAAACGAAAAAAATATACTGATGATTGAATATAGAAACATGACTACACTTGCATATCATCATATTTCGACACGTTTTGTGCTAAAACAGCATTATTCGCTTGCAAATTATATCTTGAAAATAAACATAGAGTTTGCTTAAATAAATATGTACGTGAAATTTATACTGTTACCGTTGCAAAAATTCATGTGAGACTTGTGTGCTTATGTCTAATATTGGATGGCCAAGTCCAAAAAATGTACCATCACTATTGAATTCGAATATAGAATGGAGGAGTACGATCGATGTTTTTCGTCTAAAACTGACCTCAATTGTGTATTGATTATTGATATCATACGAAAAGTAAAAGCCAAAATTGTTTGATTACATAAAACCAGACTTTATATTTTTTGTGTTATTTTTCTTTCTTATCTTTGTTTCGTTCTTCGTATTTCTTTCATTATTTTCATACTTGAAGAAAAGAACTCAAGGTAAATAACATGCTGCACACGTGAAACTTTTGTGTTTATATAGCTATAGGCATAATATTTGGTTTGGTAGAGAAGGAGAAGAAAAAATACAAAGCGATCTAATCGTTGTATGACACAAGCGTCATATTAATAAACAGTTTTGGTATGACTATCTCAACCAATCGAAACATATACAATTTTCCTATCGAAACGTTTCTTCACTTCAAACTACGTCCATGTCGTGTACTGAGATAGTCTATTATCTATCTTGAACTCATTGGTTTCTATCTATAATCGAACAAAACCAGCTAGGGTATTTCGATTTGATCACGTTCTCTGGTTGACAACGTTGATTCTAGTGATAGTTTTGTTTCATGCTGTATGATAAAACGATCTTTGTACTTTTTAGTATATGCAGTCGAACGTGATTAACGGCTCTTTTGAGAATGTGGTAGTGTGTTTGCACATGAAGATAAATCATTTATTAATTTCTTGTACAAGTATTTTTCGTTTTTCTAGCCTCATTTTATTGATGGGTATATAGCAAATATTTATTGTATAATATTCCAAAGAGAAAAAATACTCCTTTTAGAATGTATTTATCAAAAACATATAGGAATCGTGATTTCGTTTCGTCTTATTGGACTCCTACATCAGTCATTATGTTAGTCTCATGAAATCCTTGAAATCTGTTTTTTCTTCTCACTTAATAGTAGTATCTTCTTTAGTTGACTTTTATGAATCTACCATACATTTAATAATTTATTAAGATCATCATGTATTTAGCATTAAGTAAACAAATATTTTATATACTTGATTTTTATATGTGACAAATATATCAGAATTTGTATTCGTTTCTCTTGATTATCTTTCTCTTCTTTCATTTTTCATTTAGTTCAAGGAAATAAAGAGCAATTATGTTTTACATTTATAATACCAATTATTCCTTTTCGTTTGCTCATATGTTAAAAGCGAGCTAGTGCCTACTGGAAAAGAGAAACTAATATGTGATGAAATGAATATAGCGATATCCTGGACCAATCAACTTTGCAAATCATGTTTTCGCAATCTCACCATAAAATCATAGAATGGCATGAAAAGCTCTTTTTCGAGTTAGTCCATCTGCCGATTCATAGCAGCTGTATTTTATTCAAAAATATGAAACACTAAAACTATTAATTTTTCCAGTGTAAGTCCTCGAGTTTTATATGTTGAAAGACCGTTCAGTGATAATCCAACATGATTGACAGACAAATATTTCACATCACTGAGATTTCTTCATATGATAGCAGCTAGAATCTTGGCAGAAAATAACATGTTTGCAGCAACACTAGAACAACTGAACTTCCGTTCAAAAGGAAAAGTTAATATGTACAAATCACCTTATAGGAAAACATAAACAATCGGAAATGATCATTTTAAACAAAAACGTTTGTTTTACTTTCAACATATGCATCAAGTGTAGGATAATGTTGATCAACTTGTGTGAGTCGATAAAGAATTTCTAATTCACCTTGATGGATATATGGAATTGTTGGAATACACTCCAATAAAAATAAATTTTACATGTCAAATAATTCTGTACTTTTTTAAGATGAAGATCATTTTATTTTAATATTAATAAGCCATTAGATCTAACTCTTCAATCTATTAAATGTTCATGGAAAGTCCTTTTAACTGAATAAGAATTCTTTCAAAGAATATCAACATGAAATTTTAGATAGCGCTTTTTCATTAAATGTCTCTTATTGGTTGAAGGGTGTGGGTGTGGGTGTGGGTGTGGGGTGTGGGTGTGGATGGGTGTGGGTGTGGGTATGTGTGGGTGTGGGTGTGAGTGTGGGTATGGGTGCGGATGTGTGTGAGGGTGTCGCTGTGAGTGTAGGATGTGGGTCTTCTCTTCATCATCCCCATTCACACCCACAACCACACGCAGCCACACAGACACTCACACCAACACCCTCCAAGGTCATGTTTAACTAACATCTACTGTATCTGGAATACATACAAAGTATTTGCTTGTTTATGTTCTGTACTGTAACATAAACAATGATGAAGAAATATGCCTCAATATACACAAAAAGACCAGTTTTTATGAGACTAAGAGCATTAGCTACATGGTTTTGTTGAAAATGCTCTAGAGCCGACAGAATGAGCAATGGAGAACTTTTGATATGTACACAACTAGTAGCGACTTTCAAGAGCTACATAGCGGTCTGTTCTGCTTACGACGCTCAATATTCGTTTATATGAGAAGAATAAATTACCAAGAGCAATAGGTGGGAAGTAGACACATTTTAAGCAATCTCACTATGCGATCTATAAAAACAATCAGTTCGATTGTTTAAACAAAGATAAATAGAGCTTTATAGAAAATTCGACAGCGCATCTTTTAAAGAAAAACCTCAAGATTTTTTGTTTTAGTCCGTCTTGCGATATCCGTACAATACGCTATCCTGCCAGCACTGCCGGATACCTGTATCGATACACCTCACGCTAAAATCTGAAATGTTTTGAGAAATGACCTCAAGAGACACAAGTGTGGAACTTTTTAAAAAACCACAGGTTCCGAACATAGCGAAAGCTCGGAGGAATAGAATGACTTTTCACTTGTTCCATCGGGTCCGAGTGTAGGCAGAGCTAGAAAGTTCCAACAACATCCCACGACTGAGAATTAGGAATTGATAATCTGCCGGGGAACTATCAGCATAGCTATGATAACTCCTAGAGAAACTTAGATTCCGTCGTGGGTTCACTCATAGTTTTCCCATTCATGAAAGTGATTCTTTTTCCGAAATACTTTTTCTACTCGCAAATTCATGTTCAGGAAATTTCTTCACGGCAACGAACGTACGAGAAACTATATCGTGGATATTCTATTTTGTTTTTAGCATCCATGGAACTGTGGTGGAACAGAGAAGGAAATTCTATTTCTCCGTCCTTGGACATCCATCAAGCATCCGTCAGAGTATATGGCAAAACTTTCTTCTCCTGTTTAACAGACTCACCTTCTTGGAATATGTCAACGTCCAAAGCAAAGTTGAAAATGATTCCAAACTTTCTTACAGAGCAAGAACATACACTTTTTCTCTTTCTCTAGCGCCTTTTCTCTCTCTCTCTCTCTTATTTTCTGTTTATTTTTCTATCGCTCTCTGAATCTCTGAAAGTAATTAATCATTTTTTCAATATGCAGTGAGAAGTCGCACAGCGCACTTGATTGATTTTTTGTTGTTCGACCCACTACTATTAAGAAAAAGTGAAACCAACATCGCTGTCAAAGAGCAACACTAAATTGGAGTGAAGTCTATGAAGTGTATCCTCTTCACGCGCAAAGTCCCGCGTGTGAAGTGAGTAAAGCATACCGAGACGCATTTCGACCTTGCGAAAGGCTCTAATTAGACAGTTTAGACTTCTTATCTATTCATGCCAATACAGTGAGCATCAGATTCCCTATTTTTTATCCAAGCTCGAGGGTATAAGTGTCAATAAGACGAACAAAGACGCCGAGTACCCACATCCACACCCCCACCCACACCCCACACACCCACACCCTTCAATCCGGAAGTATTTATGCATACACAACAGTCGCATCAGATTCGGAAGGCCGTTCAGTGAAAAGTTCATCGAAATCTGAGCTGTGCTAACGTGTCCGTACTCACTTTACTAAAGACATCTTTCTGTAACATCTCGCTGAAGGAAACAATGCTGAATTTTTCTGTTGATAAGAAAGTCTTAGAAAATTTTTTGTAAATCGATAGTCGCTTTCATAATCTAAGTGTCTTATTTATAAACTCTTTCTATCTTCTATGAAAAGATAAGTTTTTTTCTCATGTCGCTGAAAAGCGTTCTATTGGTGACTAAGTCTTTTTAAGAATTCAAACAGCTGTAATAAAATCTTTCGCTTCATTTAATTGACGATGAACCAAAGTATGCTCTACATTATTTAAATATTACTTTCATTTTTTTACCTAATGTACACGTTGTTGCCAGTTGTGCATCTATCGCGTATTTTTAGGTAGTTGAAGAGTGGCATTATGTGTCTTACAACCTTCTCCCATATTATCGTTTATCACTTTTCTCGATTCTCTCCTCTCTCTTATCAGGTAGTGACATTTTCAAACAGTCCCTGCTAGAGATAATCTAACTTTATTTTATTTCGATTCTTAGACGCACGCACACCACCAAATAAACAGGATACAC